GTTCATGGAAGAAGCCGCTCAGCCCACCCACCTCACTTTTGGAAAAGATAGGAAGTACAAGAGATACTTTGTCTCGGTTTGGGAGAGTCCTGTTTTCCTCCACCTTTTTGTGTATGGGCAGCTGAAATTTGAGACATATTTGTCCCTCCCAAGCAAAACGACTAGGGCCTTTGTTTTTCCCTGATTAGAATCTATGCCAAGTATAAAAGATGCTATAACTAGATGTAACTATCATCACTAGAATAAATCATTCAGAGGGATTGTGAGGGGGAATCTTTAGCTCCAAAACTAACAGACTTCAATGGCCACCTTGACTGCTTGCAGATATCAGAGGGAATACAGTGAATTTAAACGCCAACAGCTGGAGTTGGATGATGAGCTGAAGAGTGTAGAAAACCAGATGCGTTATGCCCAGATGCAGCTGGACAAGCTGAAGAAAACCAACGTCTTTAATGCAACCTTCCACATCTGGTAATGAGGGCTGTAGGGTGAGGCTGCAGGCCCTGCTTATCTGGATGTTAGCTGTTGACCTCTAATCCAGGGTGCCCACTTCCCACAGATAGGGACTGCATGTCATCTCCACCCCATCTAGCTTTTTTTCATTCCTTGTGATGGGATAAGCACAGTCAGGAATTAGAATTCTAGAGCTTGGTAAAATCCACTTCTCCAAAGAAAGCGAACAGTGTAAGCCTCCAGCTACATGAAAACCTGGTTATATGCCTGGTGCTGATTTCTTATCCCCAGGGTCATTCATGTATTAATTCATTCAGTGTTTTATCCATTCAGCTACTATCTGTTGACCTTCTGCTATATAGTAGACACTGCTAAGCTCCAGGAGGGCAACATCAAACAATATGTAGTCTACCCTCTAGTTGCTTATAATCTTGTGGAAGAGATAGATAAGTAATAGGCAAGTGTAATACTGTGTGATAGTGGTAAACCCAGGGTGCTGTGGGAACACTTCAGGGCATTCTGCCAAATTTGGGAAGGCCACATGGAAAGTTTCCCCCAGAGGAGACTGATGTTTAAGCTGAAACCTGAAGAAGAAGTTGGTGGTAGAGGGGGTTGTTCCTGGCAGAGAGAACATCATGTGCAGAGAAACAAAGGAAAGAAGGAGTGGTGAATTCAGAGAACTGAAAGGAGCTTATTATGACTGGAGATTGAGTGCAAAGGGGAGAGAGACAGGATATGAAACTGGAGAGTTACCAGTTTCTGAAGGTTCTGGTAGACCTCATCAAGGGTGTTGGACTTCATCCAAATGGCAGTGGGAGCCACTGAAGCATTTTGGGCAGGGAAGTGACATGATTATGTTTGCATTTGTGAATGATGGTTTTACCTGCAATGCGGGAAATGGCTTGGGGAATTGGAACAGTATTGTTGGTAAGGAGACTTGTTAGTAGGAGTCTAAACAGGAAAAGATGGGGTTGTGGCATTGAGTTTGGAGAGAAGTGGGCAGGTTTAAGAGATTTAGGAGGTAGAATCAACAGAGCTTGGTGGGTTTTGGGAGGAGGGGAGTGAGAGGAAGGATTCAAGGATGACACCCAGGTTTCTGCTTTGCCGTCTGAGCAGTAAGGGGAAAGATGATTTAAGTTTTGGACGTGTGTTTGAAGTGCCAGGTAGAGCTTAGATATATGAATCTGAAGATTAAGAAAGGTTTGTTAGATTTGGGTTGAGAGTAGGAAATCACAAAACTTGCTAAGTGTTAAGTTCTCCCTGTATTTTTCCCTGCCCTCTGCCTTCCTCTGCAGGCACAGTGGACAGTTTGGCACAATCAATAACTTCAGACTGGGTCGCCTGCCCAGTGTTCCTGTGGAATGGAATGAGATTAATGCTGCTTGGGGCCAGACGGTGTTGCTGCTCCATGCCCTGGCCAATAAGATGGGTCTGAAATTTCAGAGGTAGGAAATATGCAGCTCTTTCCTGGGGTGTGGTGTGTCATTGGTATAATCTGTCTCCAACCTGGTCCTACTCTCCACTATGGCAGGAGCCCTTGCTCCCAACAGGCTGAGAGTTGCCTGTGGGTGGAAACTCTACTTGTGATTTTCCCCTCACCACAGGGCTCTTTCTACAGATGGAGCGATCAATGAGCTACGTATACATAACAGTGGTTCCCAATCTCAAGTCTCCAGAACCTTAGTATTCCTCAAGCTATTTTCAGTTTTTCAATCTAATCCAAAACATACATTTGTTGATCCAGAGCCCAGGCAATTATATAATAAATGTAGTTTGGTAAATAAAATCTTTTAAAACATGGTGCATATGGGGAGGTGGGAAAGAAGGAATTAAAAAAAAAAAAAATACCATTGCCATCGTATTGATTCCAACTCATAGCAACCCTGTAGGACAGAGCAGAACTACCCCATAGAGTCTCTAAGGAGCTGCTGGTGGATTCAGACTGCCAACCTTTTGCTTAGTAGCTGAACACTTAACCTCTGCACCACCAGGCCTCCAGGGAGAGAGGGGTAGGAATAATAAAAGAGGCCCCTGGGTAGGATGAAGATTGAAAATCATTGGGTCGTAACTTTCCAATAATCAGTTTAGAGGGACTCCTGCATCCATCTCTGTCTGCATTTCCGTTTTAGGTATCGACTTGTTCCCTATGGAAACCACTCATATCTGGAGTCTCTGACAGACAAATCTAAGGTACTCTGGGATGTTCCATTTTCACTGAAATACAGAGTTCTTGTACCTCCTAATGAAATGGCTGGTTTAGTTTTGATACTGGCATTATTCAATTTATTTCTTAGACTGTGGTGACTCCCAAAGAGCCAATGTGTGTAGGAAGTTCAGGAATAGCTCTTTGGGGCTTCTGCAGAAAAATTAGGTTTTTACAGTCTGTTGAGAAAGGATATGGGCATAGCACGGGAGGATGTGTGTGCTAAGATGGGGAGGGAATCACCATGAGGTTGATATTTTGTACATCTCCATTGACCACGAAATAGTCCTGAGTGCATTGTTATTGGCTCAAGGTTATTGCAGTTGTTTGAGGTTATAGAAAATAGAGTCCAGCCACATTTTTATTTCCAGTGGAATACAGACAGAGCATGACTTGATAGATAGAACTGGGGACAGTCTCTGGTAGTTTGTCTTGGTGCCACATCCATAGCCTTTTCTCTCTTCTTGGGCAGGAGCTGCCGTTATATTGTTCTGGGGGGTTGCGGTTTTTCTGGGACAACAAGTTTGACCATGCAATGGTGGCTTTCCTGGACTGTGTGCAGCAGTTCAAAGAAGAGGTTGAAAAAGGCGAGACACGTTTTTGTCTTCCTTACAGGTCAGTATTTTCCAAAGCTGAATGAATCTTTAGTAGGACCAAACTGAACAGAATTGAAGGGGTAGTAAGAATGGGAGCGAAATACAGCATAGGTGGCAGGAAAGTAGAACATGGTACAAAATCACATGACACTGATGGGCAAAGATCAGTCCAACACTGCAAGCAGGACAGAATGTGATAACCTGGTCCCAGAAGAGACAGAATGTTGTCTAAGATGATTTTGGGAATTTGCTTGGCACAGAGCTCAAGCCTGCGCTCCAGTTCAGGAAAGTTTTCCCCAGAACCCCTGGAAATATACAGGAATGCTTATTTGGTCAAATCTTGTAGGAGCTCAGTGATAGATGGAAATCTTAGTTCAAGGAATAAGACTGAGTGTTTCTATTACCTCAAACAAAGCATTTCCTTTCTTCTGTTTGCTTTCTCTCCCCATGAGTTCAGGGATGCCCAGGAAAACAGTGAGGAGTACTGTAACCCTCACTTACCCCTTGCTCCTGGCTTCTCATCTGTTTGGGTGTGTGTCCTGTCCCTGTACTCCACAATGACAATGAGCCTCTTGTGACAGCCTTCTTGATTTTTGGCTTTCAAGCAAATCCAAAATACACTACTGTTCCTTGCCAAGAGTTCTTTAATAGATAAAATGACGTGAATGGTCCTATGATCAAGTCCCTGCCCATTTGCCTGAGCTGACTTAACTCAGATCTCAATTACTAATGAGCTCTGCTGTGTCCACCTGCAGGATGGATGTGGAGAAAGGCAAGATTGAAGACACAGGAGGCAGCGGCGGCTCCTATTCCATCAAAACCCAGTTTAACTCTGAGGAACAGTGGACAAAAGCTCTCAAATTCATGTTGACGAATCTTAAATGGGGTCTTGCTTGGGTATCCTCACAGTTTTATAACAAATGATTTTTTTTTTTTTTTTTTAGGAGAGTGTTTGCCTTAAAGGCTTTAATTTCTGTTTGCAAAAAAAGAATGTTTTAAATTAAAATTGGGTGATATTGAACAGCACATGTTTACAATACCAAAAAAAAAAAAAAATCACAAAAGCCACTTTATTTTAAAATATCATATGACAGTTTCCAGAGCTACAACATGCCGTGTATACCTACCCACCCTTGTTACAGTTTTGACTCTTAATCCCATGCCTTCCTTTCCTCCCCTTCCCTAAAACAACTAATTTAAGTTTCCTTTTTTTTTTTAAACTAAGAATTGAATTGAGATTGATGGGCTGCCACTAGATTTTCTCTCTCTCAACTTCACGCATTTACAAGATGAAATAGAAACCTCTTCTCCACTGAGATGAGCGCGATGTGTGAGGCCACAGTTGGGTAACGTGAGAAAATGACATATAAGCTTTTCCTGGTCACCATGTGATGTGATCAGAAGCTTGAAACATGACACTTCTCCTCACTTGGTTCTAGTACTAAATGCCTACTCTGCTGTGTGTTAGAGATATGAAATGGTGTTTGATACTGTTTGAGCATTATGGAAAGATTTAATTATTTGTAATAAAAGATTTGCTGCAGTCTGATAACTGCCCAGAGGTGCACTGTTGGGTTTTTATTTAAAATAGAGTACTTTGTATTCTGGGAGAATTGAGTTCATGTGCACCCATTCGATTCTTTTGAAACATGTTTAGAGATGGGTTAGTTTTAAAAAGAAGATTAGTGAAAATAGACAGCTATAGAGGAAGCCCTATTTGTGTAGACCTCAGTAGCAGAATGCAGGCGTTAAGCTAACTGTACAGGGAAATAAAGGCTACTTCCTTGAGGGTCAGCCAAGGTCACCCAGATACTTTGGGTTTTTGAGCCCCTGGTTAATACTAATCTTCATGTCCAATGGTCTCTCTTTTTTTATTGTTGTAAAATTCTGTATAACACAACATTTGCTAATCCAGTGTTCTCTCTTAATGAAATTAACAGTTAAAGAGAAAAGCCATAAATGTCTTATGAAACAAAAATGAACCAGCTTCACTAATATTCT